GTCGAAATACTGTGTTTTGTATGCTTCAATGTTGTCTCAATTGAAAGAACATGGTCGTAGTAGAAAGCAGTTAGTTATTTTCAGTGACAAATAATCACAAACAATAGTCATGAAAGTAGATTGTAACAAAGCAAGTACAAATAGGTTGTTGCACGAATACACATAACTGACAAATAGATGCTTGACAGGAGCGGGATGTGCGTTGATTAAACTATCACTATTCTTATCTCAATCTGAATCAATACAAAAATATTGATTAAACACAAGTAGAAAAATTATGTTAATTATTCATGATGTATCCGTACATGGATATTCATGAACATTTGAACAAACAGTTTGACAGAAATTAGACATCGGGTATTTAAAAAACAATAGATGTAAAAATCATATTTGAAATAATCTCAGCAATTAAAATTCAAATTGACTCCATAGTTTCATCCAGTATGTTCAACGGAACTTATTCAGGGTAATAACCAAACTTTGATCTTGATTATTAACTAAAACCAGTTGGTGACGCTAACTATGTAATCCAGAAAAATATCTACAAACCACCTTCAGTTATTAATCATGCACTAGCTGGCGATTAACTTTTTGAGGTAATTCCGATATTATGATGAGAAGCCATGATCAAAGGAGTTCAACCATGTCAAGTGCAAGGCCGTTATTCATCAAGGATATTGCATGATTGCACGATACTACGAACTAATGGGAGTTAAACATCTGAACCACAGAATGCTGACTCAGACGTCTTCAGCTTAAGCGTTCGCGCATGAAATCGTAGGTCTTGGGTTCGATTCTTGATTTGATTGCGATTATTACGCTGAACATATCCATACAAGACTGTTGGACAAAACATTAGAATTATTTGCACTTCTATATCTGAGATCATTCCAAATATAGTTTTTGAACTTAGTATATTCATAATACGATTACAATTTTACTGTTGGTAAATTACTGGTATAAGGATTATGGTGACTGAGAGGTTTTAAAACGAGAAAATGGTGTTCTATGTGTTCAGTGGAATCGGTATGATTTTCATATAGTTCTAAACATTCAAATGATGTAGCCGACAACCTAAATATCGAAAAATACTTTAGGTTTAAAAAACTTAGAACAGGTAAACAGATTATAAACACAAACGCTTTTAACTACCCATTTCAATTGAGTATACTAAAACAATTAATTAAAATGAGATGACATGATGTAAAGTATGTTGGATGACGTGCGATAGCGCAAAAAGCTTCGCACAACTATTCCTTTTAACGTTTTATGAAAACAAAATGTACAAGCAAATTTACGAGTATTAGGAGAAAATTCGTTTTTTTCCTTTTGACACAACAACACAAACAATTGAGACAAAACAAAAAGTTATCCAGTGTAGTACGTGCAGTGGTCGTTTAAGTGTTTTGGAGACCTTACTCTTCTACCGTAGAGCTTTGCTTTCTCTCAGGTTTTGGGCACCAGTAAAGTTCCGCCGTGTTTATCGATTACCAGTGAAGGTAAGTAACTACTAGACTCTTGCGGCCGAATTTTATAACAAGAAAATCAGCAGTATTAGGATTTACTTCACAATATTCGTTTTCAAGAAGTTGTGGTGGACCGAAATGTATACTAACTCAAAAATAGCAATAAAATTATTACGTCCAAAAGTTATTATAATAATATACAACTTCTAAGTTGTGAACACAAATAAAAGTAAATGGGCGTTACTTAAATCACCTGACTAGTGCGTGTTCTGTTGCGTTTGGTACCAGAATCCACAATTATAGATAATTAGCAATTTTAGTGAGGTTGATATGGCTCCAGTAAGATAGCCAAGCGTAGGATACAACGGGAATGTTACGACAGTCTACTGGAGGGCGAATGTTTTTAGCGTCAAAAGTATGCCTGAGAAAATCAAGAGTTGGTTCCAATCTGAAATTTATGAATGTTTACAGTAATATCTCACTTTTTCAGTCGTTTGAAAACATTGTTTGGATGCTGGTGATGAGATTCTATGTCTGGGTTTGCGATGAAGCAGTAGTTTACATGAATTGGTACAAAGTGGAGACCCCAAAAGCATCGTCGATTACTCTCCGGAAGGTTTGTGCAGCGCTTGAACCCATCACGTCTCCCCACTTAGAGGTCATGAAGAGATATGCGTTTTCCCACTTCTTTGGAATTCTTTTAGAGCCTGAGAAGCGTTAAATTAGGTCACTTAATGCATGTGGTAGAGCTTCAGTAGATTCTTTCGGTACAAGGAGGCACTTTCCACCTCAACCCAGTCAAGATCTAGATCCAGGTCTCAATATCCTTTACAAAACTAGCCTATCTGTCAACTATACAATCTCGTTCAGTATTGTCACCGTCGTAACATTGGTTTGAGCACATTAATTGTGAAAATATCCGTCCGAAAATTCGGTGATACTCAAGTTGATGGGAGTCTCCTAGTAGATAGCTGTGACCGAGTTTCCCCAAACAAGCACAACTCAAGCGTATATTTAGCATAAAATATCCTTGAAAAACGTCACGAAATAGCATATTAAAAGAGACAACGAACCAATGACATTAAAGGTCCTTTCATGTGGGAAATACGACCTGGACGTAGAAAATGCGCTTTTGGTGCGAAAAGTGAGAAATTCAAGTTTTCAAAATAAAATTTCGAAAATAAGACGTTTACCAAGAGAGTTCAGGGGAACTAGCGTCCCCGAAAGTTAGTCAGTCCTGTGGAAGTTGGAAGCTTTCCCCATATATGGCCGTAATATTGATCACCTGTACCATGGGTGTCATGGCTTTAGTAAGACTAAACGAGTAACGTCGTCATGAACTCTCTCTTCTACTTGATCTCAAGTCCTATTCATTATCTTGAGGATTCTGTGTTAAGGTTTGACTTAGGACCTCATTTATTTGTCTCAGCAATGTGTTCCATGCAATTTTGAGATCTTTCCATAACTCCCTCAACTGAAAACTTATTCCTCTGCCACTGTGGGATATTAATTTAGCTTCGAAACCAAAGCAGTATGGAATGAGGAAAAACTGCTAAAGTTAGTGTAGGTACGGCTTATCACTCAGTTGAGACCAAAGTAAAGTGATTAGGCAAATGATGGTTATAAATTTTGTTGTAAATGTATTCGTACATCATAATCCAAACAAATCTTACCAACCAGTTATTCAGCCAGTAATTGTTCAGTCAGTAGTCAGATCTAGATTGCATTAAATAAACTACCGAGGGTTATGGGATTGTAGACCATCAACTTTGATGATCTCTGTCGAATGATTGGGGGCCTACTCAAGTCAGACGGGAATGGTGTGACGAACCAGCTAACTTCGAAGTAATACCTCGCGGTTAGTATCTAACGCAGAATACACCTTAGACGTCTCAAAGTACTATGGCTCCTTTAAAGACTGTATAACACAAAGGACGTTATTATGGAAATTTATTAGTAAGAATGATTACAGAAATGTTAGTGAAACCACCACCACATGGGTCATTCCATGGTGTATGATTAAGTGATGCGCGTTTGTTGTCCTTAACTTTGACAGGGGTCGATGATCTGTTCGATATTGGGTGACCCAACTGCTGGATGATTTGGCTAGGTCTCACTGACATTTCACTGTCCGTACGCGATAATTACCAAGTACAACAAATAAATAATACTATGTGATAATAAGGAGTATTTGAATCATAATACAAACTAGGAATCACAGAAATAACGCAAACTAATTTATTGCCAGCATCTCGGATCAGTGGGGTTAAAGATCAATTGTTTGATGTTTTTTGAGCTTCAGCCTGATAAGTGGCTAAAGTCTCATCAAAGTCTGTTGTCTGGTGATCTACATTAACTGCTGACGTATAGATTTAATCGTTCTTTCCCATACTCCACCTCTGTGTCTGGATGATGGTCAGTCGAAATGCCTTTGAATATACCTATTTGCAAGTTCATCATTTATCTTTCTTCATGTAAAGATTTTTATCCATTCCAAAGCTGCCCATCAAGTGTGCTTTGGTCGGCTTCTTTGTTAGGACCTTAATTTTCGTTTGCGGATGTTGAAGTCCATTTCTTCTAAGCCTACTACCACGGTTATTATTTTTGTCGAAATTTGTTGCAGCGTTTAAGATAACAAGGCATTGATAAAACTAGTTATTGAGGCATGTTGTACAACTTGCTAATATGTGGATTTTCGTATTTGTTATTTAACCCGAAATTCAGATAAGACTTGTACATAATCAAGTGGTTCTGATAACAGCACGAGGCTGTTAATGCATCGTTCAAATGCTTCAAACGGTTGTCGACCGAATACAAGAAGCATTCGCTCAACAGGCTTCCGTATCTAGAAGAAGTGGATCACTGATACTTGCAGGCAGGAACCCAGGTATAATAACGATATAAGAGGAAAAATAAGTTTGTAAATCAAAGTACAATACTATCCTTAGTCTTCAAGAGTATGTCAAGTTACCTCTTGAAGGATTCCTGAGAAATCTCTTGGACTAGCACAGTAGGCAGCGAATTCCAGAATTTGACAATTCTTAATGAGTTGTTGTGTCTACAGTCCGTTCTGCTATGTTGTGTCTCCAGTTACTGAGTGTTACCCTTTAGATATGCGTTGGAGTTAAACCGAAGTAGGTGTTTGAGGGGATGTCTAGAACTGTTAAGGATGCTGAAAGACTTTAGAGGGTCACCTCTAAGACGCCTGTACTCTAATAGGTCAAGGTTCAGTGATTGGAGACGCTTTTACTTCCGACCTCCTGAGTTTGTTACCTATATCTAAAATTTAAACCCTGGAGTAATGCTTGTTGACTGTCTCCCTGAGTTAAAGAATGAAGATTAATAAGTCAGTGTAGATGATGTTTCAATTTGTCATTAACCATCCATTCCCAACTTCGTAGTCTATTAACTTGAATTTATGATAGAAAGCACTAGTGGTAAACTGTTATTAGCAAATGAAGCTAGTGTTTTCCAAGTACTTTTATTCTTTATTCATAGTTATTTGAATTACTTTTGAAATTATCGCGGACTTTTGTTTGTAACTGTATAGATAATGGAGGGAGTTTGTTTTTTCGGCCAACTCCTTGGGATTTATATATTCAAGTGATTGTCCGCACCTTGAAGTAACTGTGTCAGTTTCACTCCAGTTTTATAAGCTCTTTAGATTATTTTAAACACTTTTCACGTGGATGTATTATTCATACATATTAACTCTGACATATTTCAGTAGTTAATTTATAATGATATTTTCCGGCAGTCATATAAAAGTTGATCGAAGTAGATTGTCACGACGACAGTCAGCTACTTTTAAAACAATTTAAAACCAGCGTCTGGTTGTGAAATAATTTAGCATAAGGGCAAAATATTTATAACAGGTAAATTGTCTTGACATCGTAAGGATTATTTATAATAGTAAACCTAAAACCTTATAAGGTGCAAGTGAAAGGATGCTTTGTAAGTTTAATGAAAAATAATCAACTAAGTTGCTGTCTGGATCCCTCTAAAAATTTATAAATCATGATAAGATGTACCATTTGTTTCCTTTTTTTAAATAAAGAATTTACTAACACCTTATCATCAAATTCGTCTGTGTTCCTCAATCTTCTAATGTTTACCAGTCTTTTTAGCGTAAAACTGACTAAATATTAAGTTCAACTTAGCTATCGATTAGCGACTAGCTGTCATCGCGTTTTGAAATCATACAAGCAACCAAAAGGCTGCTATCTTAAATCTAATGAGTTTAATAGTTTGGCTTACATTTACCAAATGGTTTTGCGTTTGGAAAAAGCAGAAAGGGGTATCGCCAGCCTGATATTGCGTTTGATTTCACAAAGATTATTGACGAGACTATCATTTATGGGTCATCTTTGAGTGACGCCAAAATAACCCCGAAAACTCCCTTTTTCTGACTAGTATCTAAAGGAGGTTGCAAACTAGTTATGAAAACCAGTACTGAGTCATTACCCGAGTGAAGAACCAGGTGCACATATTTACATCTACGAAATTAAAACTTTATAGTAATTTCTAAGTTAAACTGTACAAGTCCATATAGTTCTTTCCATAGGTAAAGGTTATCCACTAACCACTTCGTAGTCAAGATGGCTTCAAACATGCTAATCGAGATGCCTAAAAACCATTATATAAATTCGATCTAATCAGTTATCACAGTTTTGACTTCACCGTTACCTAGTCATACAAATAAATGTAAGGGATATGTATCTTACTCCATCTAAATCATATCAATCCAACTAGTTTGTCAAAATATAAGGAGCAAATCTTAGTTAGTGACAGAGCAAAACCTCACATCGGTTTGTTTAGTTGACAGTACGTTGTATTTACAATTGTCGTTGACATGACCATATCATCTAGATAAATTAAGTTATGTGATTTGTCAGAAATAAGCGAATTGCATTAAAATTATAGTTGAAAATCCAGTGTACGTGATTTTCATCATTCATTGTGGAGTAATAGTTATCTCGTACTTGGAAGTTAAGTCTCAATTTTTATGGGTTTTTTCTTTATTTAGTTGCACGGAGATGACGCTCCGAGCTGGTGCGTCTAATATTTCTGTCCGAGCATGGCGCCGCTACTTCACTCTATCATCTGTTGATGCAGTCATCGAATTGATGCGAGAAGTGTTTGTCAGTTGTGGAGCAGTCTTTTCTGATGAACAGACAGGCATGAATCATCTGAAAACTAATACCATCAATAACTCTGATATATGTGACATTGGAGTTGACTCCTCCATCAAAGAACCTAATTTGGCTTTCATATCTATTGTATTAGGTTACATAGAAAATCATCTTACTTCTAGCACATCAGAAGACTTTGATTCCATAAAACTAAAAAATACTCTTCATCGCAAACTTGTATCCAGAAAAAAGGAAAATTTGCCTCAAAATTATCCCCGTTCACGTTCATCTTCTCTTACAAAATCACAATCACCTTTATCTGTTCATCTTGAAACACCAGAAGAACATTCAGAAGGTTCTAATGACCACCTGGAATTGAGCAATAAGTTAAGTTCCATCCCCAGATCTTTGTCATCAAATGCATTCTTACAAGAAACTATTCACGAATCTTCTGCATGTCGCCGTCGTGCTAGACGATTTGGTTCTGCTCGTCGTGTTCGTCAACGAAACGAGTCTGAAGTATCTGTTTCTGCAGCAACCGCAATCGAATCTCCACTCACCGTTGCTGCTAAAAATGAACCACTACAAATATTCACAGACATACCAGTCAGAAAGCGGCGTCGATTTTCTGATAGCACTATACCAAATTCAGCTTTTCCATGTTTAACATTTGATGAACTTGAACGCTTGTACTTAGATTTCTACAATCTCATCACTAATTCCCCTAAAGTGAGTTTCAATGAGTTATTTAACCTATCCCCTCATTACTTTTAGTTAAAATATTTAAAGTAGTATTCCAAGCGTACTGCTTAAATTGCATATTGTTTCACTCCTAATTCACAGTTCACTATTTAGTAATTTTAAGTTGTTATTGATTAGCCTGTTTCATTATCATCATTGTTTTGCTTTTATATTACTATTACGCGTTATTTAACATAAAAAAATACTTGAAAAACTGGGGAATCGCGCTGTACATATGGCCATATTTTCACTTTATTCATTGGTGTAGAATTGTGGTTCAATAGCTTAACCACCCCATTTCCAAACAGAACAGTATTATTGGGTTTAGTCAAGCATTACTCAAATGCCTAATACATGAGCTAGTGCTCGGTCACAGATTTAAATTAAGTTACTTTATGTTCTATATTGACTGAGATTTAATATTTAAGAGGTCATCTAAAAGTAATATGACCAAATTACAACATCAGTTCATGATATTAGTCAGTGAGTCTGAAACTCGTGAGTAATTTTAGGCCTATTTACCTAGATTTTACGTTGCACCCACTGTTTTTTTTCTCCTGGTAAAAAGCTACAAGTAGTTTTAGGCAGAAAAAGCAAGCCAGCCGAGGAGGGTGTAAGCATGTAATGATCACTGATACTAATGTTACATGTACCGACGTTAATACGATTAAAGTGAACTATGTAAAACCTGAGTGACTGAACAAAATCATGAGGCCAATCTGTATTATACCACCTAGTATTGTCTAATGAGATTAGTCTTTATTAGTTTATAAAATGCTAGAGGTCATTAATTAAATATTCTAAGTAAAATAACCGGATATCTATTTTGACGACACGATTGTCTAAATTTATACTCCACATTTGTTTTACCCTTGTTTATGTCAGTCAGTCACAACGTAGAACTTCGTACGTACGTACATCAGTTCGAGTTGCCATACCACATTAGCACAGAGATGCAGTTGTCGATTCAAATCCCATAGTGGTAGAAGTAGTAGGAGTATAATCAGAAATCCAAAAGATTAGGGTTTGAAGAAATTATTGAAGGAGTATAGTACAGTGAAATAAATTTGGAAAGGGAAAAATATAAAGACATGAGGAATTCAGAAGATTAGAATTTGGTAGAACACAAAGAGTGGATGCATCTTCGCCATTACAAACGATTTTGAGCCATGTCATTCAAGGTCTCTAACCATCGGTTGCTGTCATCTCGCGAATCCCAACCAGGTAGTCTACACCTACCAACATGGCCCAGTTCACTTGTCAGTGACTTCATTGATTTGTGCCACGTTTTGGTCTGGCCACCCCTAGCTTTCTTCCAACCTACTCCTACACCATGAAACATTGCACGTCGGGGCAGTCGGTGGTCGGGCATACGTAACACATGTCCCAGCCATCTCAACTGATGAAGTTTCACTACTTCATCAATCGATTTGCCATCCCTACCTAGTACTCGTTTCCTAACAACTGCATTATTTACCCGGTGGTCCCAGGATATACGAGCAATGCTTCGAAGACACCTATGATCGAACACTAGTAGCCTATGAATATCCTCTACTCTTATTGGCCATGTTTCACTGCCATAAAGTAGGACGGAGCGAACTACTGCACAGTAAACCCGTCCTTTGGTTGCTAGACGGATATCTCGCCTACGCCATAAATGACGCAAGTTGGCGAAAGCTAGACAAGCCTTCTGTATCCGTGCTGAGATTTCGTCACATACCAGACCACAAGGGCTGATGAGACTCCCAAGATAAGTGAAGTGGTCTACACGCTCAACTACTTCACTCCCTATCATTAGTTCAGGTGTCGATGGAACCCAATCCTGAAGTAACATTTTGCACTTCGAGGGAGAGAATCGCATTCCGAACATGCCTGCATAGTTGCTTATAGTGGTCAGAAGACTCTGCATGTTGTCAGCATCTTCACCGAGTAAAACTATGTCGTCGGCGTATTCTAAATCAACAAGTGAGCCTCCTGGTGAAAGTTCAACTCCTGGAGGTTTAGCTGATGAAAGTGCTATCTCTAAAAGTATGTCAATGACAAAGTTAAACAAGAATGGGGAGAGTGGACAGCCCTGACGAACACCACTTGAGGTAAACAATTCTGATGACAGTTCGCCATAAGCTCTAACTCGACCAGTTGTGCTCGAGTAGAGAGCCTTTATGAGGTTAATGTACTTCTTTGGTACTCCTTTCAGTGACAAACACTGCCATAGAAACTCACGATCAACGGAGTCAAATGCCGCCTTAAGGTCAAGAAATACTACTATTGTGGGACGTCTGAATTTGTGTCTATGTTCTAGAACCTGACGTAGGGTGAATATCTGGTCTGTGCAACCACGTCCAGGTCGAAAACCAGCCTGGTTTTCTCTAGCCTGCTCTTCACGAGCTTTGGTTAGGCGACCTAGTATTATTGAAGCTAATATTTTAGACACTATATTAGTCAAACTGATCCCTCTGTGATTGTCACAGGAGGACTTTTGTCCTTTCTTATAGACTGGCACAATCAGTGATTGGGACCAGTCAGATGGAATTACGTCCAGTTCCCAGATTCTACCTAAGACCTCAGTCAATCTCGTTGCTAGTACTGGACCACCATCCTTAAAAATCTCAGGGGTCAACCTGTCAGGGCCTGCTGCTCTCCCTCGCTTCAGATTTCCTATAGCTTTCTCAACCTCACAGAGGGTTAGAGGACTTACATCAACTTGCCATTCAGGACGACTGGGGATCGTGGGTAATTGAAGTGTGGCTGAAGGCCAGTTGAACTGATCCCTAAAGTGTTCTGCCCATCGATCCAACCTCCTGGATTGAGAATGAATAATATGCCCATCTTTATCTGAGATGGTTTCACTGATATTCGGGTTCCTAATACCGGTTTCTTTAACGAGTCTGAATAGCTGCCTACTGTTACCTATTGCCGCTGCCTTTTCCATCTCTCTTGCTTTCGCTACCCACCACTGTTCACGATCATTACGTAGACTTCTTATAAGCCTGCGCTTAAGTTGACTCCGCTCTTCGTTATGCTCAGAGCCAGGTGGGATGAGTTTACGAGCATCTATCAGTGCGGTAGATGCTGCCGAGATCCATTGTTTCTCCCTAACGTTATGGTTTACCTTATTAGCGGATATCACTGCTGTTTCCACAGCTTTTCGGATGTCATTCCACGCTGCCTCGGGGTGGACACAACTTACATGGCTGCCTAACTTTTTCTAGTTGTTCCTGAAATATATTCTTAGCTTGCCTATCATTAAGTAGAACCCTTAGAGGCTTCCCTGCAGTGTCTTTCCTACGACCAGTAAGACGCAGACAGATACGTGCTCGCACTAGAGCATGATCTGAATCTAAGCATGTGCCCCAGAATGAGCGACAGTCTTCTATCGAGCCCCTCCATCGGTGGCTGATAGCGATGTGATCTAGTTGGGTCCAACGTTGGGACGAATTCGGGGGTCGCCATGTCAAAAGATGTTTTTCCTTATGCTTAAAGTTAGTATTTGCAAGAAATAGGCGGTTATCTGAGCACAGCTGCAACAGACGGTCGCCATTATCTGTTCTTTTCGCCATGACACCATAAGATCCACCCAGGTGTCTTTCCCTTTCACTTAGTTTACCTACTTGAGCATTAAAGTCACCAGCCACTATTACTACATCAGAACGCCTAGCTTCTCGGAGAAGGTCAGAAAGTTTCCTGTAGAACTCATCTTTTATATCGTCTGAGCTGCAGTCAGTGGGAGAGTAGGCAGAGACGACGAAGAGGCAACGACGAGTTTCCCTATCTTTCCGGGTCCTTACTGATCCGTTTAGCCGGACAGCGCATAGACGACTGTCTACTGGGATCCAGTCTAAAAGAGCTAGTTCTGCCCTAGGACTTAATGCTATACCTACTCCAGCGAGGCCACGGGAAGCAGCGTCAGGGCTTCCAGATACACGGAGCGTGTATCGAGATGAAACTTTATTTTTATTAGGTGCGGTCAAATGAATGACACTACTCGGATCTTGTATGCGCGTTTCGGAGACGCAGCACACATCGATGGTGTAGGATTCTAGAGTCCTAGCTAAGGAAGCCTGTTGTCCTATTTGGCACAATGTTCGGACATTAAAAGTTCCTATATGTAGTTTAGAGCGTGGTTTCAGGAGACCAGGAATAACGTTCTGTGTACTCGAATCGTTTGCCCTAGCGGTGCGAGGTGATAAAAGGACGTAGGAAGGGTTAGTCGAGGAGATAACAGAGTTATTAGGTGTAGGAAGGATTTGAAAGCGACCAACTTGGTCTTGTGTTCAGTTAAGGGTATGAGGGCTAGTATCACTTCCCGGCTGCCCACACCGTGGAAGGGACCCTTGTTTATGTAAGAGAAGAAGATTGTTTTGCTCTGTAACGATTGGGATTTAGGAAGTATTAAATGCATAAATACACTACTGATCTATGGACGAACTTCATAATACAATGTGACATTGTGATGGTTGCTCACGACACCGAGTGAACCGATATCTAAGATAAAACTGTTAACCAGGAAAATAGGCTTTTTATCCAGTAAAGTAACATACTTGTGTTCAAATTATTTACCAAAAATTAAACATGAATAATTGCCATAAACAGTTTAAAGATATCGACCTCATTAAGATCTAACTGCCTAATTCCTATCTATCCTCATATCAATGCACTGAATATATATCAGTTCTCGTTGATTTTCACTTTGAACTACAACCTAAAATGTACCATTGTACAGAGTACTAAGGTGTTATTCCTCTTCGAATACTTAAAGAACAATCAAATAAGCCAAGAGAAATGTGACCCTTTTTTGTATCTAAAGTAGATGACATATAACTAAATTTATGGTAATAAGAAATTACTTTTTTACTCCTTTGTAGTTGAAACCTTTTATAGCAGACACAAGCAGTTTTACTAATGGATCAGAATCGAAAACACAGAAATTTCACTGTACTTCAACAATATCTCCAGCAAAGAAATACGCATGTCGTGCACTTATTTGTGCCATATGTGAAGTTTTATGGAGCCAAATGACAGCTAGTCGTGTCAAAGAACGATTGACGCACACACAAAGCGTGTATTCTTTTCTAACAAGTTAGTAAATATTTTTATCTCTTAACTTTATCGAGATCTAAAAAAGTAATTTGGGTTTCTTACTACATGATTGTAATGGTTACAGAAATATTATACAATGCATCATTTTAGTTTAAATTGCTCCACTCAGTCATAAAAACCTAGTATTAACTTATTGCCATCTCTCTAACCACTTTGAGTCAGTTATGAACAACTTAGTACAGTTGTCCAGTGGATCAGATTGTTATACTTTACATCAGTACAGCAAAAGCAGATTAATAGCACGAATTCAAAATAGTTGCGATATTGATATTAAGCATAGTGAAAATTGAGCGGAAAATATACCTAACAAACGAATTACGGAATCGAGAAATCGATTTTGCAATGGCTTGGGTTACCCCGTCATTGATATTTTGACTGAATTTTAATGTCGTGGTTAGAATATGTGCATTCTGTGCGGATTACCTCGATTTGACAATTATGTCACGGGTTTATGTAGAATAGAATGTGTGGTAGTAGTGAAATCCAAGACGCATATTCGGTTGTGCAAATGAGTGGGTATCTTGACTAAATAGCTAATCCACAATCTGTTGGCTTTTAAGATGAAAGGCGTTAGGTTCCCAAGTAGAAACCAACTTCTGAATCTAGATACACTCAGCTGATGAGACCTAGATAAGGTGAAACGCGCGTCTTGATTCCCACTACTAGCCAAATTCTGTCCATTTTATGTGAAATCGAGCGATGTAAAGTTTCAAATATGGAAAATTTAGAATTAGAGGCTAATAAAAAACACATCTACGCCAATGAGATCAATTCTGAGTCATGTCTTATAAGAGCCCTGAATATAATAAAACAATCTTTGTACAATCATGGACAGTTCCATTCGACATCATTTATTGTGTTTTTTAAATTAAGCAGCACTTAGTTTCATCAGTTACCGTTTCCAAAGCTGATATAAATGTTTGTGCATCATTTGCCTATCTACCTAGCCATTCATATCAAAGCAAGTGAAAATTGGGACCCAATGGTTAAGATATTCCCACCTTAACCATTAACCCATAGCTTTCACCATCGAAGACCTGGTAGTTATTGAGTACACACTTATCGAGCTATTATTTCGTGAGTTCTCACAAAAGTCCCACAATCCTGTCATGAGCTTTTGATTATATAGTGACTGGTCACATTTTTTTTTGTTTGATTAAGGTACTTTTGTTGGAACTTTAACCAACTTTGTCTGTTTACTAATTTCATGACACCCATTATCCGACACATGAATTTTCTGATTCGAACTAAGAGATTATACCAAATTTTCATGCTAATTATTCATTCTGTCTAAACATCATTGTTCCCGAACAACTGTTACCATATCTTTTGTTTCAATTCTTATAGCGGGCATTCTAGATAGTTTCGGATTGGCCTATACAGTTGTAGCGGCCTGCCAACTCCTTGGTTATTCTGATGTAGACCTAGCATTATCTGAAGACCACGGTTGGGTTGAATTCGGTCCTCCGGAATCTCGTCAGACAGCCGATGTAGCTAGTTGGGTACAAGAATCTCATACATCTGCCAGTTCGCATAATTCAGAATTATCGAATTCTCTTGATGACTCAGTGCAACAAACAGAACACTCTAGGACCAGGAAAGCATCATCGTCTACTGAAGATGAACATAATCCACCTTCCATTCGCATTCCACCACTCGAACATTCTTGGCTTTATGTAAGTGGATATCCGGTAGTTTGTCGTCCACGCATAATGGCTGTGGCTGCTGCGATTGCGGCGATACAACCAGGGGCTTCATTATCTGCTGTCACTCAAGCTCCAACTTCAGAACCTTTTGCTTATGGCACACTTTCACCGAATCCCTCAGTATCCTCCGGTGGTGACCTTATTACACCTACCGGCTTAGTTAAGCATTTATCATCAGCATCAGTGATCTCCATGCAGGTAAGTAGTAGTAACGTTAACAGTTTGAATTACCCCAGAATTATCTTCAAGTTTAAACAATCTATATATACATGTATATAAATAGTACATAATTTAAGCCTGCATAAGTGTTTCTGCATTATTTTTTTGTCTCCCTCTAAGTTTGGGCAAAATGTCTAACAACCATCGACTAGAACTTGTCACCAACAAACCCATACCTTCAAGCATCATTGGCGTGTTTAGAATTCAAAATTTTATAAAAGCCATACTACTGATACAAAGTTAAGATATATTAAATTTTATTGACATATCTTAATGGTTTTTGACGAGGATTGATTCTACTGATAAGGAATACCCAATAATATGTTCATAAGATCTGTAGGGAATTGAAGGACTAATAATATTTTCAGTTTGGGGTCTAACATTAATCGGTCCCTGACTTCAATGAGACTAACAATATTGTCCAACTACCATTGTAGTGAACGAGAACACCAATAGGAACAATCAAATATATTTGAACACAAAATTACATAATCTCTTAGTAAAATGTGAGAACCATACACTAAACACTTCATCTGCAAAATGTCAATCAATTGTTTCAGACTTGATTGTTCCTTCGTTTCCATATCAATCACTCTCTGTTCTCGTTCTCTTCTCTTCGATCTTCTTAACCTCCTGCTACCAGGCATTTCACTTTTGATTGGTGTACATACTACTTGTATCTGTCGACATCAGTAGCACACACCATACCATGACCAAAGTTACGGTAGAATTTGTTTTAAACCCCATGACTTAATGGATTCAAAACTGTGTTTAAACCATTAAGTGAAAAGTTTTTCTAACAACTATTTCTCTTTTTTTAAGTTCGAACTTCACAATTGCATTTAGATTTGAAGTATAGTTATTATCTCATGATTGATAATGTTGTAGACTGGATTGATTTTGAAAGTTTTCATTGTAATCCTGACCTTACCTTTAAGAAGTGAACTGGTTGCCTTTATGAAAAAGTAATTCAAATCGAATATGTGTGCATAAAACAAAATTTGCTTACTTAACCCTGTTACATCTCATTAAAAATCGCAGGCCACCGACCAGGATTCTCCCACCAGCTCTGTCCTAGACTGTCCTTTGCAGTTGTTTCCAATTGCTATTCATTCTTTTGATATCTGTCTCCAGTTCCCGACTCAATGTGTTCTTGCGTCTTCCTCTTTTACTTTTCCCTTCAAAATTCCTTATTAGGGCTTGTGTCGTGATGCAGTTTGATGCCTTCCACAATGTATATTTTATCCACCTCCAGTGTTTTTTACTATCTGACTAACCAAATTGACATGTATATTTTTATTACCGATTAGGTAAACAAACAATGTAATTCACAACTTTGAAGGAACTAAACACTCGATCCAACTGAATTGATTGCTTTATTCAGAATATCGTTTGTTTGTTTGTTTTTGAATTTTTTTCACTACTTTTTAATACAAAAAACGACTTGTTTATTCTTTATTTTACATCTAGCTGGTTACATTAAAACACCAACTTTTATGGTTATGCTTCGATGCTGGTTGTCTATCACGTTATCCTTTAGGATTAACTAATTTAGGTGATTTAGAAGATGCATTTCCTACCATGGGACGACTTGCTACATATTTAAATTCATTACATTCGTCAGTTAAAACAAATTTAAAATGTACTAATGATTTAACGAATGAATTAAATGTTTTGGTGGATCAGTCCAACTATTCGTCATCTGTTTCACTTTCCACTACTACTACTTCCATTGTAAATTCACAAACGAAACTGTCAGACTGGCCAAATTCTCAATTGCCAGAAACGGTTTCACTGGCTTTGGCTCTTTATAATCGTGCTATTTTAGTCAATCAGTACTATTATTCTAATCATCATGTTTATCCGTATACATCCTTAGCAGGGTGTTTGTACAGGCATGGAGATAATCGAAGTGCATTGCGTTACTGGGCAGAGGCATCTAAAGTTATTGGACAGTAAGTTTCATCAAATTTTTCTCTACTTGTTTTTCATTCTGTGCTGTTTCACACTTTAATCCATACACTTTCTGTGCTAAATACAGTAAAACGTCAGTATACTTAACTTTTCTTGTATTTGTTGAATTGTCTCACTGTGAGACAACTCTGGCTAAGTAATTTTTAAAGCACTTAACTGACAGGTTGTGAGTTCGAATCCCGATTCACCACTTTGAATTGGATAACCAGATAGTATAAGATTAACCTTCTTACAAATATTGTGACTCAAAGCCAAGTACATGAATGCTGAGTGCACATCATCAACAGTTCCACTATATATATATATATATTAATGAGTAGGAAAATTGTATTTCTGACGTTTCGTGACTTAATATAAGCCACTACTAGGAGTTACCTAATAGTTTATGATTTCCTAAATGTTTTTAGTAAATATTAGGCTATTTTTTTGTCTCACCGAATGCCTTCTCAGAGATTAGGACTTAACGTACAAAACCGATGATCATAAATGGTACCCTTAACAACTTGATAGGAGTTATCAAATTTATATGCATTACAACACAAACTTCTTATGGTTGGATGTTGTTAAACCTGTCACGTAAACCAAATACCAAGGAACTATAACGTATGGTTTTGGTAATAAAAATAAAAACAAAAAGCATGGTCGCCTAGATATTTATTCAAGGGATCTTTCGTTACTTGTTTCTTCCTCCATCTCTTACTGCTTTTGGTAAAAGATCCAGTAAAAGTAAGTATCCAAATATCACTGACTTCGGTTTCAGCTATATCTAAGCCGTTCAATCTTTTAGTCTGTGTTCCTGACCTTAGCTACTTCCTTGACGTGGCAGTTGGTCATGCATATTGCGACTAACCAACCGAGCTGTATTGGCTGAAAAGTTCATCGCTTTGGTCTTACAATACCAATTAGGTCGGTTCAAGGACGGTAAGACTAAAAGCAACAAACTTATGGTCCGAAGACGGAGTCATACTACTGACTACTAGGGTATGGCAGCAGCAAAATGTTTCCTCCAGACAGTCAGCATCTCATAAAGCATGGGGCTGGTGGTCAAAAAAGCTTGACTTAGAAGATAGCTCACGTTACCTTCTATGGATTTTCGTCTTTTATGGTAAGACCTCAAAATTACGAAGCTGTTTCATTTGAAACTAATCACAAAGAGCCTATGTGTAAGCGGCCTCAATAAGTTATCCTTTGGATTTCGATCACTCTCTAACTCAGTTTCCTTTTCAGTTGCCACAAGAAGAAATATCCTTCCACAGTGTGGAAAACCTGAAAATGGCAGACGAACTGGAAATCAACTCTTTGAAGTGTATGAGAGACTTTACGATTGATCATCATCTTTTCGGAAGATCTTTAATTTGTTATTCCTTGATGTGTTGATATTCTGTATTTTCTAAATAATTAAATATCATTTATGAAACACTTATTCGTTGTAATTTGTTGTCTTTCATAGTTATAATCATACATCTGAAGATTGGGAAATTTATCGTGAGCTTTTAGAGATTGCCACACATTTAATGCCTCAAATGTTCCGATCGGCTAGTGAAAATTCACATTTTTGTTCTGAAGGTTCAGTTGACACTGATCCCGATGGATGCCTATATCAACCAGATAATATTCTAGGTAAGTTATTTTTTACATTATTATTTCATCGCTTTGCCAATGTAAAGTTTTATGAAATCGACCAGTGTATCTTTATGATATTCAACGTTGTATATGACTAAATGACGATCATCTTCCATGTTTTTGATCAAGTGAAACGTTAAACAATCTTACACATAGCATATTTGGTATTTCGTTAGTATTAGAATCCAGGATATGTATCAATTGGATGTTCCTATTATCCATTTCATTTTGCTTCAAGGCCTACCAAATATGCCATTGTCAACCTGTCACACGTAACATAAAACCCGACACGTGCATCTGTCCAAGTTCTCATACCACATTGGCACAGCGAGATAAAATTATTTTAATAGAAATTCCAGAATAGTAGGATTAGTAACAGTACCAGTAGTAGTACAAAGGATTAGGTTTAGGAAAAGAGAAAATGGCGAGGTTTATAGACTCGGATTCTAAGGCAAGACAACGAATGAATTCATCTGAACCATTACGAACGATTCTGAGCCATATCGTCCAAAGTCTCTGATCATTGGTTACAACAATCACCCAGACCCCAATCAGTTAGTCAGTATCTGCTATAACAGTTTAGTCCAATTGTCAATAACTTAGTGAACTGGCCTCATTTCTGGATTTGGATGTCCCTAGTCTTCTTCTAGCCCACTCATAAATCAGGCATCACCGGTCGAAGTAAGTGGTTGGGCATACTTAATACGTGTTTCAATCAGAGTGAATGAAGATTCAATACCTCGTCAATCAAGTTGTCATATTTACATAGTACTATATCTATAACTTCGACATTGTTTACTTAGTGGTCCCGAAATAGACGAGCGATGCTTCGAAGACACCTATGATCGAATACTAGTAGACTACAAATATCTTCTATTCTTGATGGCCACGTTTCACATCTGAAAAGCAGAACGGGGCGAACTAGTCAGTAGCAAACTCATCCTTTGGTTGACATAGGTATATCTCTCCTACTCCACGAATCAGGCAAGTTCGCAATAATCAATTTAGTTTATTGAGTTCGTGTTGAAATTTCGTTAGCCACCAGCCCATCATGCCTGGTGAGACTTCCGAAATAGGTGAAATGGTTGCTGGACTCGACTACTTCACTTACTATCAATAATTCGGGAGGTGATACAGGCCAACACTGAAGTGACACTGAATTTGAAGGAGAAAATCTCATTCTTAATACACTTGGACTGTTGCTTAAGGCTGTCAGAAGACTGCATTTTGTCACAGTCTTCGCCCAGGACTGTGGGAAAAGCTAGTAATATACTACACAGCTACCCAAACTGAAATAGGTGAAAAGGGGTCCGAGTCTACGACCTGTTGACTGGAGGTTGAGTGTATTATCCACTAAAACCACTACTACACCAAAACCGATCGGTCAGTTAAGCATTGTAAAGTGAATAAAATTTAATTACTAATCTACTAATAATCTAATTTGTTGAACATTGTTGTCTTATCATCCAAGACTTTCTTAAGTTTTCTAGCTTCTTTTTTAAAAACAACTTGCGTAGCCGTGCACTACCTGTAAACTAACACTACAATGTTAGTTTTCGACTTCCGTTCATAAGTCTTAGTGTATTCAATCAGCCATCAGATTATTTTTAAATTTACTCACGCCTGTTACTCCTCGTGGAGGATTATTTTCAAGTGCTTTTTTTCTGTTCTTACTCCCTTTCCAGATGATCCACACTGCCTTTCTTATCTGTTATCATTTTATGATCATTTATGTTTATGGGAAGAAGGTTCGCCTGTGCCAGTTTTGCATGTAGGTTGGGTTGATAAATTAATGGTAAATTTGACACGATTTACTCAACGTGCTAGACGTCATCTTTGCTTATCTGTAGCATCCGATAAAGAAGATAATAAAAGTGATATTGTGAATTCACCTTCGTTAACACATTCAACATGTAGATCAAGTCGATGGACAACTGAATCAACTGATACAACAAGTGAAACAGGAGTTCTGAATATGAATAACATAAAACGTACTCGTCGACATCGATCCAATCAAATCGATTCCACATCCAATTTGTCTACTCCTATCGCTAAAAACGATCTTTCAAAACCGAGTGATTATGTTGATGACGTCAATACTAAACTTGAACTAATCAATGATTATTATACTGGGGGAAATATTCAGTCTCCATCTTCTGTAATAACAAATCAAGATATAACTTGTGAAATGTCTACAGTAGTTACAAAAGCACAAAATAGGAAGAGTGATATGGAAACTGATTCATTAGGTAAATTATTATTACCATTATTAACAAAATTAACTGGTCGATAGGTCACTGATTGTTGTGTAACTCTTGATTAAATATAATCTGTTTTCTTATTAGCATTTCCTGGAGGAGGAGGACATTTGTTTAATCTGAAAATTACGTTCATAACAATCCCCCTAGTATAATTGTTAACAAGAGATCATCAAATAAAAAGGCTTATTTCATCATTAGCATGGGGGTAGAGTAAATGGGATAGAGTCTTACTACCAGTTATCGAATTGAAGATTCACAATCCTTTTTATAACTTAAATGCAAATTCATAGGCCTGTAAAATGAATGTGTCAGTTCGATTCCTTAGAGTGAATTTAAGAGAATGTGAATAATATATTCTTTTCTAAAAAATTTGTGTATATCAGTTCATTCAGTCAATCAGTACAAATATTCAAAAGGGATAATGTGAATCTATCATTCAGTAACCCCAGAAAATTAAATTGTGTTCAATGATTAGAAATAGTCGATATTCATTGCCAATACATAACTGCGGGAACAGAATATTTGGAGTTTTGATACTTGACTGAAGTAGTATGATTGGATAACAGTTATGGAGAAAACTAATAGTGAATTTGTTTATTCAGGTGTATTTTCCTGTTGTTGATATTAAGGACAGCAGTTGGCCAATTTCTATTGGGATATGTGCATCCTAAGCAGATTACGTCGATACTGCCATCTTCGCCAGTCATTTAATATCAATGTAGAGCCTTACATAAATTCGCGTTTGCCAAGTATAAAGAAATACTGAAATTTAAATTCCAAAAGTGCGAATGCAACTGGACCCACATCACTCGAAGTTTCCTGCGACTTATCCGGACCCTAAATATTTAGTCTACAATTACAACATAACTCATAGTCAATGAATTCATGGACCAATGACACGTTTTTACGTGGCTGCCTCTAGATTTCTTTTGACTTACTCGGACGCCTGAAAACATCGCCTGCCATGGTAGGTAGTGATTACGCATAAGTCACTATACATGTCCTATCCGCCTCAATCGATTATAATTCACAAACTCGTATATCACAATTTAGTTACAGGTTTTCAGCCAAGTTGGTTAGTAGCTAGCAGAGAAATCCAGAACACGCGTTTCTTCTCACTCGGAACCAGTCAACCTAATGTACTTGTTGTATCCCAATGTTAATGTTCACATTGAGACTCGAACCCAGTACTTTTCGCTCTAAACGCCAGTGCATTATCCACTGAGCTATTGAGTTCAGATAACCACCAAATTATGCAACAAATGTAAGCTTTTTGCAAGGGTTTGTATTTTAGCGTGTGAACATCAACACTGAGATACAGGTAGACACCCAGCCGACAAACTCGAAATAGGACGAAGTATGTGTTTTAGATTCTACTGTTAGCCGTTATCCAACTTTATTAAAAATAGTAGGTTTATTTTTTACTGAATGCTTTAATCCATTGACAAGCATATACACCTAATAATCTGCAGCTAACATGTTTACATTTTATGTACTCACAAAAATCTTTTCAACTAACCAGCAGAATAATAATTTCTTATCAGGTCATTGAAGAACATGTTAGTTTTTTTTTCAAACAGAAGTCATTTGACTTTTAGCCAGTAAGTCGTAGATTCGAACCCCGCTTCATATATTTCAGTCTGGGTAAGCGGATAGTGCACTTATAGTGTATGGCTGCATACTCAAGTACACCAGGTGAATGAGCTTACTTGAAATAACTTTTTCATTCGAGTAAAAAATATCGTTTGTCGGTCTTTCTGATGATATTAGATATTATAATACAGCAAAATTTAAATTAAAACAAAATGATTTTTGCACTACGTATCAGCTGAAAATTTTGCCAACTGCATAGTCTCACACTTGAATTGTTAAATTCGTTTATATTCATTATACAGTGGTTAAAAATTATGTGCTATTTTAATGTTCAGTTTAACTTTTACGTATACTGTTTTGATTTCAGTCGAAGCTAACAAAGGCTCTATTCCTTACATAGTAAAATCTTGTAGAACCTCTGTCACAGTTGAGATACCCGAAGAAACATCCAACACAAAGATATCTATCAAAGAATCTTATTCTCCCAATGAAAAATCTGTTCCATCATCCACTCATACAAATTCAATGTTTGATGATGTTCAATCTGATGCGGATCAGATATTGTTGGATACTGAAGAACAAGATGGATCACCTTCTCCACTAATGGATTTTCCCAATCATGATGATTTACTTGCAAGTTTAGTTGAAGCATGTGATCATCGTCTGTTGAATCCAGCTTTTTTATGGGGTATGGAACCACACTCACCTTTTCTTCCAGCTAATGTTGCTCCAGAAGAAGCATTAAATCGTCTAATGACAGTATTAGAAGAAAGTAAACCCCCTACTTCCATAATACGCAATTCAAGTGATATTATATCTACAGAAACTATGGTTCATCATATTTTTCCAACTCCTCCAAATTCAGGAAGTTTCACTGGATCATCGGAAAATATTATCCATGAAGAATCAACTTCATCTACTACATTATCTCATACAACATTATGTACATCACCTCGAGTTCCAGAAAATTCAGTACCTGGAATAGAAAAACTAACATCAACTGCAATAACAGCACCAATTCGTTTAGAAAATCAAGAAAATTCAACTAACTATCCTGTTGATAAAAATAATAATCTAGAAATTACATTAAAAACAAGTTCTGTATTACCAACAGAAAAACATACATTGTTTCCTGACAATTTCGACACTGTCGACGGCGGTTGTAATAATAATATTAATAACGATAATAATAATAATAATGGTGATGGTGTTTTGTCGGAAGATTTTGACCTGTTAACTAATATTCCTAATGAATTAATGGATTCTGTCGCCAGCCTAGTGGTTGATAATCACCACCATCATCATCATCAAACTGATCATCAAATCAATTCAAACAGTCCTCCTACTGATTTTTTTGATTTATTATTAGAATCAGCAAACAATTTAAATACAACATTATGTAATCAACATCAATGTGAAACAGAAAATCAGGGACAAAATATAAATATAAATGATGATAATAATAGTAATAGTGTTATTAACCAGTCAACAAATCATCGTACAGTTAAAACAATGGAAGAATTAACTGTTCACTTACCATTATATTCAGTTAAGATGGCTTCAATTATTGAATTATTACGAGCGCCTAGATTGAATTCGTCTGCAATTAAACTAGCATTGACAGCGCAAAGTCAAGTATGTGTTCGCCGATCTAGTAGTGTACATTCTAATTATTTTTAATCATTTCTTTCTTCATTGTATTATAGTATGTATTTATCATTCATTCTATGTGGTATGTATATATCACCGTCGAAATGTATTGAAGTTTATTAGTCTGACTGTATCTTTTGGTTGTTTGTTTGTGTGTGTGTGTATGCAAATGTACATAGATACTTATTATATGTCTGTATGCTTGATTCAAGTGTACATTATTCATTTTGTAATTCCTTCTCTTTCGAATTGTTCATTGTTTGTTTGTTCTTTTCAGATCTATTGTAAACAGTAGATTACTGTTACCTTTGTTGATTAATGGATAGATTCATTAAATCATGTCTATTATTCTCAATTGTCAGTTTTGCATTATGATATTACTCGTTTGTTTGTTTGTTTTTTGTTTACTTGTTGTCTGTACATAATCGTGTGAGTATATATCCATGTGTACATCTATTCATTGCTCTTATGTTGAATTTCAATAGATCTATGCATTATAGTTAACACATTTTGTATCCATCTAGAAATACCATCAATAACTATTATCATTCATGAATGTTACTGATCATTAAATCATTCATTTTTGCTGCATATTTATGTATTATATATTGTTAAGAGGATTATATGAGACTTTTACTCTCTGTCTATGTCTAATCAAAAGGTATCCCCGAATTCCCCCCCTTTATATCAGTGCATAGAAATTTCCCTTTATTTTTTTGGAAATTCATTTGTTCTTCCTATATAGTATGAACTATTACATTTTATCAGTTGTACACATTTTTTTCTTGTATTGTCTTTTTATGCCTAACTCTTTCTTTGGTTTGGTCCATCCAGCTCAACGAACAAACCAACATCAAAATCACCCACCTGAGCTACAAATCTTCTCCACCATCTCTCTCTCTCTCTCTCTGTTCGTATTCTTTCATCAGCCATAATTACCATGCTCCATTGTCCATTAGACACATATATATGATTCAGTGAACCAACCTATTTTGTTTATATATGATCACACAAATAAGAGGAATTTTAAAAATATGTATTTTTTTTCTATCGTTTTGTAATCTACTAATTGGGTATTGTTATATAAGGGTAGATTGATTTACTTGTATATTCTACTTATTTTTCTATTATTTTATTGAGACTTTATATATGTGTGTGTGTGTTTTACTTATTATTGTTTACATGTGTTTTTGTGTATTGGAATCATATGGAAACACTACGGAAACATGTGTATATTTCATTGTATTTTCTTTTACATAAAGAATAAGATGTGTGTCTGCACGTTTTCATCTCATTCAAATGCATGTTGTTTGTACGTGTGTGTGTGTATGTGTACGTTTTGTAAAGTCGACATGTAACTCTTTTACCTCTTGGTCCCGCCACCGGTTGATTCTTATGTTTTTTTTTTAAATCTTGACCATACATGTGTTTTGACCTCAGATTAAATTTTATCGAATTTTTGTTTATTTACATATTTTTTTCTAAACTTTAATAGTTTATTTGATTGCTTCTAAATTCCGGTGATGAATTAATTCCTTCGTATTATGTCTATGTAAATCTGTAAAGAGTCTATATAAAAGCCTTTTGTGTTTCAATTTTGTGTTTATTACTTAATTATCAACTTTTAGAAAGTTTACCCTGTTGTTATAAATGGTCATCCGAGTCTGATACTGTTGTATACACCCCTGACAAGCTACTTGTATGAAGAAGGTAAGAGTAAGTAGGGAGCTTTATTGGCTACCGAATAGAAATATGTCTACACATTCATTAATTATTATCAATTTCCCCTCAAGGCCCCCAAGTACCCTGGTATGGCCGAGAGTGGGGAGAGTCCGCTCTCCCTCTCGAGATGCTCTCACATGGCCAAGCGTATATAGCCTCTGCCAGGAGAGTCCTACTCACTGCCTTCTCTTGGCGAGGCAGGGTGTTTTTTACGAAATTGAGAGGACGAAAAACGAATGTCCGGCGCTTTCACCGGGTTGGTGGACACGGCGCGTCCACCTAGTGGAGTTGGAAAACCCTGATTCCAAACCAATGGTGCACCTAGGCTCCAGTATCCTGATGGAACAAATAACGTATGAATCAATTGTTGGTCACCGACTACCATGGGACTGCATCTCCTTGTGAATCAGACTTTTAGGTCGAAGGCTGCGGTTGTGGCCCCCTATGAAAACCACCTACTTCAGCTTGGGCAGCATCAAAGCCCTCACACAAATCAAATGAGATTTGTACGACGCATATATATCTGGTTCCCCTTTGTACCAACATTTATGTGTTTAAATAAATAAATTTCCTTTCAAAAAGCCACACTTCTAGGTGTTTTCACATTATTCACACTTTTTTTCCCATTTTACTAATTCATGTTTTCTCACTCTACAGAATCAACTTCGAATACGATTGGATAAGGTTTTAGTGTTGATTTGTTTGCTAAACCTTTAATGAAATGTTGCGATTAATTAAATTCCAATGTACTGAAGTCATTTCGAATATAGTTTTTAAATAGAATGTCTTCCATATACTCGGCACCCAATTTCTGTTAAACTATTTCAAATATTATCAGTATAGGATTGTGGAGATTGTTGAGTTATTAATTGGGGTTATGAGCTGATCAACACTGTTGGATACCGACTCAGCGGTCTAGAAGTTAAGCGTTCGCCCACGAGACCGAAGGTCCTGGGTTTGAATCCCGCGTGTATGATCGTAGATGCGCACTGTTGAGGAGTCCCATACTAGGATGAGGTGGCTGTCCAGTGCTTCCAGGTTTCCAATGGTGTCCTAACATTGGTCAATTCATGATACCAATTAAAATCACTCAAATATTGACGAACATTCGTATATAAGATTATGTGTTTGTTTTAAAAGATTATGAATTTCATAAAATGTCATGTTAAGTGTGATGAGTGAAGTTTTCAGTACTTTTCGTTTTTAAATGTTCCTTATTAAAAATGAACTTCTAGTTATCTGTTATATAATTCAACTTGAAGTTCTATATATTCACTCTGGAACTTGAACCCGGTACCGTTTGCTTCAAATGCTATCTTGTTATCCACTTGGCTACTGAGTCCTGATAACCACCTGCTTGTGCAATGGGGTGAAGTTATATTCACTTGGTGTTGCTGACTTCTATCTTCCCATTGTTGTTTAGGACTGCAATTAATCAGTCTCTTGTTTGTACTCACAAAACAGTTCAGACTTGATTTTATATGATTTTCATTGATGCCAATTATTTCTTGATATAAGATTAACGTATATTTAAAATGGCTTAAGATCACCTGTAAAGAGTAAAAACTTTCATAACTACTGTTTCTAAACAACTCACTGAAACAACATGATGCAGGAATATCTTATAGTCATTTAAGATAATTAATAAGCAACTGACCCTTTATTCAACTTTTCTGTTGCTGTAACTGGCAAATACCTGCAGGGTGACTTATTTATTCGATAGAAGAAAATAGCTACTTGTTTATCCATACTCTGATACTTACTTTTCTGGTTAGCGTTTTTTTTAGTGAGTTAGTTTTTCTACGGGATTGGGTCGCTAACCCCATGCCCAACTCTCCTCCTTTACCCGAGCTTGGGACCGGCAGTAACTCTAGAAGACTTACAGGCGGAGTTTATACTGTGACAACTCAATTCATTTTTGACTGTATCATATTTTCTTCAATCTCTGCAACGTTTTTCAACTATTTCCTAGTTTATAATTTTCTTTTTACCATTAATTATCATTAACTTATATTCGGTTACTTCAGTGTTAGTCCTAACCGTAAGTTAGATATTTTATCACTATCCTATTTCTTTAACAGGTGGTTAATATCTCTATGTTTATTGCTTATGACTATAATGTTATTCACTTGTAATGCTTATCAGGGCACATCTTCAAATGATTCTTCAACTAACCCTTTCTATGTACAACAAATATGTCAGTTGTCACTGCTAACGGACTACCTATAAGCTACACTATCAACCTGTTTACAGTATTCTCACTCCTAAATAAATTGAACATTATCAGTAAATGATAATAAATATTTAATAGTTGCTAAGTGAAAAGACAATTTGTTGAACGTGATATAGTTACATGGAATATCACTAGTTATTCGCAGAGGTAGATTTTTAAACACGATTTACGTCGAACGAACATTTTGTCTTATTCTTGATATAAATATCAGTTGATCATTTCAAATGAATCTTTCATAGAATACCTAAATAGATGGTTTAGAATAGGATTTAACAGTCTCATCAGCTATTTGATAAGATTATTTATGTGCGCTCAACAATGATCAGAATTGGTTACAAAGGGATGCTAGACTTGTTAGCTTTCGGTAATCCATATAATTCATGATACACAGATAGACACGTTACTATCTACAATTTATCATTACTTTCGGAAACTTTTATGCAAACCAAAGACGCTGATGAGCTGTCAATGAGTTCACCAGTGGAGAATGTGGTATTTTCTTCCAAGTATGTTGTATATGCGTACATTGAAATGCGCATATCAGAGATGCATGCATTCCATTAATACACATGTAAGTATAGATGGGTACAGCTGCTAGTATGCGTTACATTCAATCATAGAATGCTCGAACATGTCCACTCATCCCATGAGTACATATAGACAGAATTTTCCGCTCGCAAGTATACGTTACATACACATATGGAATGCATAGGCCCAGATCCATACTCTTCATAGAATACATATAGATATAAATGACATCAACATAAGCCGTAACCCAGCTGCTCCCATCACTGAATAAATATCGAGTACTCGAATCAGTATGAAAATAAGCCGCCATAGACGATATGCTCATTTCACGCTCATGCCACAAGCAGTTTTACTGTCGAACCCTGTGCACTGGTTACTTCACAATTTTTGGCCAACGCTATAGTCCGTCTGTCCCACGCCTTATGGACCCTTCCAGATAGAGTCTGTTCAGGCACTAAAACGAAGTTGTTCTCCATCACCACAATCACGTCCTCACTTCAAAGTTGTCATCTGTCTCCTCTTGTTAATCAGATAAAGTTGATGGTTAGCACGATCTCCATCAATTTAAGCAGAGTAGGTGGTCAGTCCGGTCTCTGTTTTATCGCTTGCGTTAGTCCATGAGGAAAAAGACCACCCATTATCCAGGGACTACTACGCAGAAGTGTGATTCGGACGTATTCACGCTTCTAATTTTCTGTACGATAATGAAACATTGACTAGTGATTTCATGATGGAGAGGATATTAAAACTAATTATGTATCATTACAATTAAACAACTACTGTAAACCAATGCAATTTATTCATTGGTAATTAATTTCAGCTACTTAAAATAACTTTTGAATGAATCACTGACTAGAAACATTGAAAGAAAATATGAATGCCAAATAATGGTCCCTCTAGTTATAACAAGTAAATTATATTCCAGTTTCATTGATACAATGAATCGTCACAAATCTAAACAAAAATAGACGGACGAATTTAACAAATCTATTGATTGAGGTTAGATATTAACACCGTTGGGTGCCGGCTCAATGGTCTATCGGTTATGTGATCTGGCGCGAGACTGGTAGGTCCTGGGTTCGAGTCTCGCGAGGCGGGATCGTGAATGCGCACTGCTGAGGAGTCCCACAATAGGACGAGACGGTCGTCCAATGCTTCCGGGTTTTCCATGATGGTCTAGCTTCAAATGACTCATGATCTCATCTATAAAATCTATTACGTATCATATTTCAATATCTTGAAGAATTCAAGAAGGAAAAGTAAATTATAATGTAAAAACTTCAAAGTTCTATTCAATTCTTGGTGCATTAAAATAAACTCATGATATCGCTATTGACAAGTAATCTATATTACTCCTTACATGATCACACCTTATTAAGAATTCAATATCATTTCACAAACTATTAATGGATAAAGTAGTCAGTGAAATGCCTTGTCTGACATAGGTTTCGTGTAAGTTTGTACTGATCACCTTCACTCTTATGAGAACTGATGCTCCCTGTGTGATTCGAACAGGCTTCATAACCTGTGACAATACCGCTAAGCTGTTCAGGTTGCCAATGACCTCATATAGAAGTGTGGTATTTCAAAGTGATTGATCACCACTGTGGTAGCTATAAATAAATAATGATTTAAGTAGGCGATTTTTTTTTTCATTTCGAGATAGTTTTCATCATATAGGAACTCTTGTCTAGATTTGAACAAATAGCTTCAGAGTATTTAAGCTCCGAGTTATTGTAAGACATTAAAGAGGAAGAATATACTTGTGAAATCTCAGCAATTAAATTTTAAGTAAATCCAACGTTTTACTCGGTAATCTGGTCCAAGCTTTTTCAAGGAAGTATAATCAAAATCATTGAATACAAATAAGTATAAAGTTCTCCGGTTAACCATACACTAAATAGATTATCCAATCATTCTAACAATGTTTAAAGTATTTACTGTAGTGTATATGATATAGGTGGTGTGCATCGAAAAGTATGTTAAGATAACAGATTACGTGTATTCGAAAGTGGATCTAAGGTGTAAGAAGAAATTTCCTCGAATACTTATCACCTTTGTTCGGTGAATTTTTTAGTAGAACATACAATTTTCATATGTGATTGTAGAGT